GCCAGGCAGCATATACAGTTGGAGGCTACTCCTTCAGCGCAGCTGCAATTGAATACACCATTCTGAAGATGAAACCACCGTTGCACAGACCACAAATCGTATGGATTTTTCGGTGATGTTGTTGCTCATGTTTTCTTTACTTGCTTCTCCTTCTTCACTAACCAACAAATGTTAAAACTTCTTGTTAGGCTTTGCTTCTTGCCCTTCACAAACTGAAGGTGTCGGATGAGCAACGCAAGTCCGCAATTGATGCATATGAACCACTTGTAACTTTTGCACTCAGTTCGGGGATGTACTCATCACCTGCGGTAATCTCCATCTTAAGTTCACTCTTTATGCACATGCGCGCACACACATTTGTTTTGGTTCTTGTGAGTTACAGATTTTGTAACGAGTAAATTGAAAATGCCAGGTGAGAATCTACACTGCTAATAATGTTAGAGAGGAGCTTGAAGAAGCTCAACGCGATTTCATACGAGCTTCGGTCGGGGTTAGTAGCAAAGGGAAGCTATTAGTTCCGTTATTACTGCACTGCTTTGCCAAGGGCTTTGTGGATGATTCCAATTTGGCAGTATGGATATCTCATTACCTGCCACCAGATCAAGCTGCCTTTGTGGAGCAATGCATATCACAAAGGAGGCAAAGCCTTCTTGGTTCCCGGAACTGTGGCATTCTCCCCTTGGATTCGCGCTTCCGTTACTTATTCTTGCCTGACAAAATTTCAATCCAATGATGTCTATATTAACCCGAATCATACAGACTAAGCTACAGAGAATTAAGTTGAAAGTGAATCATTAGCAGATCCTTGAGAAAGGCGAGGTTCATTTACAGTTTTGGTGTTTTCCCCTTTGTGTAGTGTACATTTTCGTCATGCATGGCCATTGTATCGTCTTTATCCAACAAGGTTAGAATAAAAACGTCTTTGGGGCTAATTTTAGATAAAGGATCAAATTACCGGAGAGTAATTTGAGTAGCCTGTGAGTATATTGTTTGGTTTGTACTAATTGTGACGTATTACTTTCTTTAACAATTCCATGTTGGATCTTGGGTCTGACTTTGTTTTCTATTACTAATCCGGTCTTTAATCTTTAATTTCTAGGGTTCAATCACAAGATCACATCTATAAATTTGGAATTTTTATATAATTTAAATATGTTTTTATATTTTTTAGTAATAATTTAATTTAACTTTTTAAAATCTTATAGGAGAATTATTTATTTTTTTATTCTCATTAAAATATCATTCAATTTTCAGATATTATTCCACAACTTTCCTCATCAGTAAGGCATTTCATATATGACCAAGTATGTTTGAAATCGCATACATTGCATTGAAATTAGGTTTTCATCATCAATTATTAACCCCCATTACAGGTTTAACTATAAACACGTTTGGCAAATTCAGTCTTTTTATCAATTAAAGCCATCTTCTTTTCTCACGTGCAGCCACCCCGTCTTATATATATAATGCCCCCAACTGTCCTACACCTACCCATTGGTCTATATACTTTATTATATTTGTTGCATGTGTTCTCATGTACAAAACATAAAGTTATTTGAGAGAGAGAATGTTACGATATTCATTCATTAGGTGTATTTATCATACATAACAAACGATATTATTGTGTTTTCTTAATTTTTATTAATGAAAAAGTTGTTTCTATTTTTATATTCATTTTGTACATTATTAATTATATTAAAATTAGAATAAGTTTCCTACGTTGTTGTCTGACAACTTGTAATTGAAAATAAACTAGTAATATTGTATTAAATTAAAATAATATTCGAATCAGTAGACTATAGTACACACACGAAAAAAGCCGTTGATTCAGATATTTGAATTTTCTTAAAAGTTTTAAAATTTTTAATTTAGCTACTAAATTTTTGAATTATTTTTGATTACTATATCTTAAGATGATTAATGATATTATGGCATGATAACTTACATTAAACACATTGTTTTGGATCCCTACATAAAACAAATTTGGTCCAAAATAATATCATTTAGTTCCTTATAAAAACTTATTATCTTCTCGTTTTCCCTCATTTGTTCCTCTTTTATTTTCCTCCTCTCGTTTTCTATCTCGACCTAAATCAATCCAAAATCTACAATCGTGTTAGCCGCCAATCATGCCACCACCAATCACATTCGTCAAAGACTGATGAGTCTCAAAATATTCCATCAAATTAGTCACACCCTTCTGAACACGAATCTAATGTTCATTTAGTAAAAAGAAGAAGAAAAACTCAAACTCCACAAATTTAGTATTGATACCATCAACGTCGTATGTCTTCATCCTCCAATCACCACTTGCAATGATACTGGTACCAAATGAAAGTATTTTCTCTCTTTTTCAATCATTTAGTTTAGATATCTATGAAATCTTGAAAGTCATAAAAATTAAATTAAGACTAGAACTAAATAATCTCGATTTTTGTTTCTCTTACTGTCTGATTGTTATCTGATTCTGATATGTTACTCTCCATTATATGTCATGCTTTGATATTTGAATTTATGATCAAGCACTTGGATATACTAGAAAGTAAGAAATTAAGGGTTTAAGATATTTTAATAAGGATTTTAGGATTATGATGGTAAAATTGACGAGAGTTTTAAGGTTTAAGATTTGAGATGATTTGTGAGGGTTCTAAGATTGAGATAATGAGGGTGAGATGGTGAGGATTTGAGGTAGTTCACCAAGGTTTAGGGTCAGTATAATGTGGCGGTTGATAGTGAGGGTTTAGAATTGGGGTAATATGAGTGCTCGATGAGGGATTGTTATTGTAATTAGGGTTTAATGTATTTATTTTTATTTTAAATTATTTGACATTAAATATTAATTAAAATATCATAATAAAAATAATAAATTAATTCGTGTCATCACAAATTTTAGAATTTAAATAGTGGTAAGGATGGACTTCAATGGAGGCGGGTGGGACAGTTGCTCAAATTTGTCTCCTCTTAAAATTTTTATAAATTAGTCACCCGAAATATGAAATTCTACATCCGTCCCTGAATGATTGGGTTAACAACATAGGATAAAAAATTTAGTATAAATTGAAATCTTTAAATATCAATGATTAAAATAGGAGTAAAAAATCAGTTGGATGATTAAATTTAAATAATTATTTCCAAATAATTCAAAATTTACATTTTACCTTAAATAAATATTATAATTTAACTATTAATTTTCTAGCGCCAACAATTTATTTATTTTGGTTTTACTGAATCGATTTAAATATTTTCAAGAATAGGAGGCCTTAGTGGAAATTTATGAAGCTAAAAGTAAACTGCGTCAATCATCAATTGCGCTTTTAATTAGTTTAAATAAAGAGTTAGTCTAAATATACAAATTATTTTACTAAATTTACAGATTATTGTAATGATTGTGTTTTTATAAATTGTTTTATTAAAACATCAAAATATTAATGTAATAATTATGTTTTTTCTGTTTTGTTATTAAAACTTTTTATTATTATGTAATAATGATGTCTTTTTATTTTTTATTATAGTTTTCTATTAAGGTCTTTTTTATTATTAAAGTTTTCTATTAAAGTATTTTTCATTTATTTCTTCAATATGATAATAATTATTTATTTTTAATTTTTTTTATCTTTTTACTTATTTAATTATACATACATGTATAAAAAAATAAATATTAAAACATTCATTGATAAATAAACTAGAATTACAATAAATTGAACGTTACATAATTACTTCGATAGGTCAAAAGTTTCAGGAATACGGAAATAATATTCACGAAACTCTTCCTGACGACTAACATATGCGTTTTCCCATGCAGATGCAATGTCACTTTTATATGTGATCTAAAGTGGATGAGTCATCGACAAAGGACAACCTTCGCGTAATGCCGCTTTAATATAATGGTTATCATTCACATGTGCAATGACGATTGTCCCACGTGGCTCTGATTGTGGTGGACTGGACCAAATCGGGAAAATCGTAGTACAACCTCCTATGTTTCCTTCATTAGCTAAACTTATAACAATTCTATTGTATGCAGAAGCAATAATCAATCCCGTGTTTGACATTTCCATCCATTTTCCAGCTAATTGTACGGTTTTATAGATTTTTGTTGGTTAACATCTAACTCCCGCACCAAGTCTGACCGAATTCGAGGCCATTGATCCTTAGATAGACCATGAGCGACAACGACTGATCGAAATCCGCAATTTCCGTCACCTATTAAATCTTGTAAACCTGTAAGATAAGGACAAAAAATTTGTGGAAGTTGTTTCAAAAATCTTTACGAACCAGGTCTGGCAAACGACTGGCTTACATATGAACTGTGTCTTGTGGGTTCTTCGTTTAAATCCGGGAACAAGTCGCGTGCGCTTGTTACATATGAACTGTGTCTCGCCGTTTCAATATTTGTCGGTTCCAAATTCAAGTCTATATCAAAAAATTTGGTGGAATAACTACTTTTACCAGGATCTTATTTTTTGGATCAACATACTTCTTCTTTTTTTGTTTCTTCAAGATTGGCCGCCCGCGAGTATTTTTTTTAACCGCGGGTTCTCTAATAAGATTTGTACTTGGATTGAATATATCGTGTTGAGTTAATTGATTGACGGAATCGGCCAAGAGGGGGGTGAATTGGCAATTAAAATTTTGGTGGAAGCTTTTGCAGAAAATTGAAAGAAATTTGTACAGCGATTTAGAGTGGTTCGACTTTCTCAACCAAAGTCTACGTCCACTACCTTAGCTATCCATACTAAGGATTTTCCACAAATTCACTAATTTGTCTTTCTTTTGAGGACAAAGAGTAACCTTACAAACTCTCAAGAATTATATCCCAAATTCTAATCGGATTTCGGGTTGGCAAGAATGTTTGGTGGTGACAGGTTACAAGCAAATACTAATAGGATTGTAGGAACATAGTAAGTGGAGTACAGTATTATCATGCTAGCTTTAATAATCCTTCATTGAAGAATCTAATCTACTTTTTTCTATGAAAAGGATGTAAACACAGTGGCTACATGTCGCCGGAAAACGCCATGGAAGGCCTCTTATCCGTTAAGTCGGACGTGTTCAGCTTCGGTGTCTTGCTATTAGAGATACTAAGTGGCAAGAAGAACACTGGCTTTTACCATAGCGGTTCTCTGAATCTAATTGGACATGTGAGTGACAAAATCTCTCCACTTTCCCCCCCCAGGTTTTATTTATGTCTTTTGTCGGACATGTGAGATATTAAAACACGTTGGTTTTACTCAAGGCATGGGCATTGTGGGAAGGAGATAGAGGAGGTGAGTTGGTGGATCCTAAAATGAAGGACCAGGTTTCATATCCCATGCTGCTGAGGTACATTCATGTGGCTCTTCTTTGTGTTCAAGAAATGGCGGCTGATAGACCGACAATGTCCCAAGTTGTCTCCATGCTTACCAATGAGCTCAGGGTTTTAGTTTCTCCCAAAAAGCCTGCTTTCTCTAACGTGACAAGTACGACCCATGATTCAAATCAGCGTGCAACGTTCTCGGTGAATAGCGTCACGGTTTCTTTGATGGAACCTCGATAGTTATTTTTCATTATTATTCATGTAACACTCCAATATCGTTGTGTTTTGTCTCCTAGCAGTTTTCTCCTCTCCCTCTCTCCTCTCTTCTTTCTCTTTACAATTTATGTTAATTTTTATAGATCAAGTCAACTTTTTCTTCTTAGATTTTGTTTAGCAGGTGACGACATCAGTTTTGATACTGGTTGTCGATCATCGGTTGTATGTTCTTTTTGTATTTCTAGTTTTTAATAAAAATAATTATTTCTTTGTGACATATTTATTTGTCTTTATGACACATTTTTCTCCACATTTTGATAGTTTTTGATCGTTTGGCCGTTTTCGTTTATTTTTTTTAGGGTTGAATTTGATATTGCCACGATTGATCAAGATAGTGCTTATTTGATATCATGCTAATCTTTCCTACTTTGAATTCTCGGATTGATTTGGATACGTGTTTTGCATTCTTAGATAGTTTACTCATGTCGTTTGACTCTGATTTGCGAACTTTAGGTGATCTTTTAATAGTTTCATCCTATTTTATAATTCTTTTGCCAAATTATACCCCAAATTCTTGAGAACACTCTCTCCCAAAGAGAACAATACAAATTTGTAAACTTACAAGGAAATCCTCACAAGGTAGATTGTCTGCACAATTCTAGAACAAAGAAAAGAACACTCAAGAATGAATACAATTGAGCACAATAAGTGTTCTTGAAAGCAAAATGAATATTGAATGAAATATAGGCTTGAATTGCTCAAACTTGAGGTTTGATGTTTTCTCTTTGATTCTCTCTTGATTCTAGTTGCTTGATGTTTCTTGTTATTGGTCAATGGCTTCTACGCTTGCTTAAATACACCTTGAATCACTTCTGAACGTTGGGGATGATTAGTGGAGTCAATAGAGCCGTTTAAGTGTGAAAACAATTAATAAAATTAGTTGGGAGCTTCTTATGCATTGATGCATACCCTAGGTGCATCAAGTGTAAAATTCAAATATTTTGACCGTTGGACTCTCAGTGCATCGGTGCCCTAAGAGTGCATCGATGTATAAAATGCATTCGATATTTTTGAAAAAGCCTGAGTGCATCGATGCATGGTATGTGCATCGATGCATCAAATGCATTCGATGTTCAATTAAATCATCGGTGCATCGATGCATAGTTTGATGCATCAGTGCATGCCTTTGAATAATTGAATTTAAGGCTTGATTTTGGTTCAAAATACTTTGTGAAAGTTGTTTCAAAAATATTAATATAAAACACAATTTTACACATTTAGTAAGGTTTAAAATTGATCTTGAAAGATTTGGAGTAATAATTTGATATTCGATTAATTGAATCGAATATACTTAGAAAATCATTTGTAAAAGCTTAAAATTCATTTAAACTTAATTTGTTATATCGAAACATCAAAATGTTTTCAACAATCTCCCCCTTTTTGATATAAAAAAATTTGTATTTTAAGATTTTCTAAAATTTGAAATCAATTTTGAAAAATTACTCATCCTTACTATAACACTTCTCCCCTTTAAAAACATTTCAACACTTAACATTTCTCCCCCTTTTTGTTAAATCAAAAAGCTTCATATTAAAAATATAGCCAATTGATTAAAAATCTATGTATATATATAGCTTAAGCTACTAAGATCACAATCAAAAGAGAGATTATGCATTAGTTTCATAATCAATATTCATAATAAAATGTGAAATTGTAAATTGGTCATATTTCAATTAAAAAGTAAATGATGCATATATTGAAACAACCAAAAATATATGAAATAAAATTTCAAATATCCATCAAACAAACATCCAACAATCAAAGAAAGACAATCCAAAATGTTTTAACAATTAAAATTAAAGTTCAAAGATGATCCTAAACCAAAACAAAATCTACTCGTCCATAGAAGGATCGAGAGGAGGCGGAGGAAAACGGGCTTGCATCTCAGGCGAGAGAGTATCCATGCGTGCAAGCATCTCCCTTTGAAACTCCATCTGTCGAGCTTCTAAAGTATCTAAGTGTTGATTTACTGCTTCGTGAGTAGCAGTCAAGTGTGATTCGATGGAAGCATATCGTAGATCAAATGTCTCCAAGAACGATAGAAAATATGGAGGCATTTGATCCTCTTGTGGAGCTGGTTCTGGTGCAGGCTCGTCATCGGGTACGTGATCATCGATGTCTTGCATAAACTGTTGAAATTCAGGATCATCGTCATCAGCTGGAGCCGGAGGAGAAGGAGCACGAGAGGAGCTAAGAGCAGTTCGTGAGGAACTAGCTCCCGGAGTTTTCTTGCAGGGTCTAAAAACCCATTGACCGGTTATCGCGTCTTGTTTCCAATCCGCTTTCTTCAAAGATATGAGATTGATTGGGTTTTGGAGAGGAATAGGATTGTCAAGAGAGACATCCAAACTGAGTTTGATAAAAAGATTGCTAAGAAGACAACCATAAACTAGTATTTCAACGTGTTTGGATGGGATAATGTTTACGGTATCGACTAGCACACTAAAGATAATCTGTGGAAGATTTATTTTGATCTTATTCTTAATACAATACATCCACCATAAATACCTAGCCCGAAGAGTTGAGTACCTACCCGCGGATGGTCGAAACCACCACGAGATCATTAAGTGAAGAAAACGATCGTGAAGAGATCGGAGGGTACTAACACTAGCATTTGGGAGATATGGATATTCCACAGTTTCTTTTTCGTCATAAACACCATCGTCATCTAACCCAAATTTTGAAGCTATAGTTGTGGAATCAACAAGAATATATTGTCCTAGAATATATGATCTAATTCCTATAGTTCCACATTGAGTTTCATTTTGAATACAGACCGCATTAGAATAGAAAATGCGGACTAATTGATGGAAAACGACAGGTTGAAGACGAAACAAATTATCAAACTTCCAAGATTGAAGAATTGAAAGGTATTCAAAATCAATACCTATCATGGCTTGAAGTGAAGGAATACGTTCTTCCCGAATTCTATAACATTGGAAAGAATTTTTGTACCTAGAGTACAGTTCGTCTCTGCGACGCTCAGGCATGTTAAAACAAGATCCTAATAGACTAGTTGGGTGGAGGAGGAACGGGATTTGGCGGTTGGTTTGAACGAGATCGACTGGATGAAGTTCTAGGGCGTTTGGGATTAGACATGATTCAAGGAAATCGAAATAAGGAATATCACCTGCAATTTGAAACACATGTATGCATAATCAATCCCAAAACTCAAATGAGTCCTCAATAATTCAAGGTTCTCTAAACCATATCCTAATGGGCATGTTTTGAAAACTATTTAAAAATAATATTTGATAATCATAATATAGTTTTCATGAAAACAAAAAAATTAAATCAAAAATATTACTAATTTTTGAAATCATAATAATTTTTTTTAATTTCGAAATTTAAAGAAAAATCTTGAAAAATTGTTTGTTTTTGACAAAATTGGTAGTAAAATCTAGTTAAAACCAACAAACAATCAATGCCCGACATAATGTACATTCTAGAACTAATTAAAACCAGTTCTAACATCAAAAATTTGTAAAATAGAAGTTTTTAGAAAAATACCTTGAAAATTTGGATTGAGGGAGATGAGTAGTTGTTTTGCACGATTTAATGATTGAAGTAGGTTTGCAAGTTGAAAAGCTTGAAGATTCCGATGAAAAATCGTTGATTTTTGAGCAAGAGGAGGATTTAGAGAGAGAGAGAGAGATGAACGACGAGAGAGTTTTAGTTTTAGGTTTTGAGAAAATGAAGAAAATGAGGCATTTTAACCCAAAACCCGACGGATGCATCGATGCATGACCTTGTGCATCGATGCACATTCAAGGCGTGCATCGGTGCATCAACATGATGAATCGATGCACATTCAAAGGGATGCATCGATGCATTGTTAAGTGCATCGATGCATGAAGCAAAAGTCAAAATCCATTTTAAAAACTTAAAATGCTAAATTAATTAGCTCTAGTGGTATTGGTAACTCATATATTAAAAAATTAATCATGTTCAATCAATCAATTAATATTTATTTGAACATAAAATTAATTTTCATCAAGAATTATAAACTCTCCCTAACTAATAGTAATGAATGTAATCAGAAATTACTATTATAAGCAATTTTTTCATTTAATCTTAAAAGTGCTAAAATTATTTTAAACACTAAGTAAAGATAAGTCAGTTAAACCTAATTCTCTCCTAAGTGTCCAAAAACGTTCCTTGTCTAAAGGTTTTGTAAAGATATCCGCTAATTGATGCAAAGTATCAACAAATTCTAGAACTACATCTTCCTTAGTGACATGGTCTCTAATGAAGTGATGTCTTATTTCAATGTACTTAGTTCTAGAGTGTTGGATGGGATTTTAGTGAGACAATAGCAGTATTGTCACTTATAGGAATGGTACCTACTTCAATTCCATAATCAAAAAGTTGTTGTTTCATCCATAAAACTTGTGCACAACAACTACCAGCTGAAATGTATTCGGCTTCAGTGGTAGATAATGCAACACAATTTTCTTTCTTTGAAAACCAAGAAATTAGCATATTTCCAAGGAATCGACAAGTACCAGAGGTGCTTTTCCTATCTAATTTGCATCTTCCATAATCCGCATCAGAAAGGCATGTAAGCTAAAACTAGAGTCTCTAGGATACCAAAGTCCTAAACTAGGAGTGTCCTTAAGCTATCTAAGATTCTCTTAACACTAGTAAATGTGATTCCTTAGGGCATGATTGAAATCTAGCACATAAGCAAACACTAAACATAATGTCAGGTCTACTTGCAGTTAGATAAAGTAGAGATCCAATCATTGACCTATATAATTTAACATCTACACATTTACCTCCTTCATCTAAGTCAAGCTTTGTTGAAGAGCTCATTGAAGTGTCATGAGGTTTGCCATTTTCCAGTCCAAACTTCTTGAGCATATCTTTGACGTACTTAGCTGATTGATGAAGATGCCATCTTTCTTTGCTTGATTTGGAGTCCCAAGAAAAATTAGATCTCCCCCATCATGCTCATCTCAAAC